TGAGAAGCCCCAAGGTTGACAAGTAAAAAGGCACAGTCCCGATGTTACCAAACCACACGGCAGGCCATTAACTTAAGTCCATTGTAAGTCCCAAGGTCAGCAGAGCATAGCAGGCTGCTGAGCAATGACACGGCTACATGCAGGGTCCAAGCATGCCATAGGCTAGAGACCATTCCCCAAGGCTTCTCCTTAAATACGGGAAGCAGACCACATCCCAAAGGCAGCTACTCAGTTGCTTGTGGGAGATTCCACTATGGAGTTGATTGCTAGTCACATCATGGGGACTAACTACCACCAGCTGCCCAGCCAGTCAACCAGGCCCAGCCAAGTTGACACACAAATATAACTACCACAACATCCAACATTCACATACTCTTATCACAGCATCCTACCTTCTTATCTATTTAGTCCAATTAAAAACTGAATTTTCATGATTCCTTTGTATTTTTAGTCCAACAGTCATCATTTCCATCCCTTAGCAGCCTAGATCCCATGGTTCATCATTTCATCCAGCTTTGTTAATGTCTTCAACTGCTTGGTTTTATTGTCTTTCTGATGTAACTGATGAGAAATTATGTAACTCCTGACCAATCCTACTCTCTGACTTCTCCACACTTATATTCCATATTAGTTAAGGTTTCTTTAGTTTCATATGTCTTTGACTCTAACTACCTTAAAAGGGGCATATTTATTGGTTCATGTAGCTAAATCATTTAAAAAAAAAAAAAAAAGGTATGAATAGAGGTGGCCTCAAGGATAACTTGACGCAGGAATTAAAAACTCTCCCTACCTCCTGTCAACCTTTCCATTCTCAAACATCTCTGTCCCTTTTTCTCCTACAGGGGTCTTCTCTACTATAAAAGAAACACACTTACAGCAAGCAACACTCATACACATCTTATAGCTCAACAAGAGGCAAAAATAAAACAAAACAGTTTTTCCATCCAGCTCCACAGGCTGATTTTCAACCCCTAGTGGTTGCAACTGAAGGTATAGGGGTTTACTCCAGAATCAGTCAAGATTTTTTTTTCTTCTAAATATTGATGTAATGAATCAGAATCCTTGGATGAGGAACCTCTGCACAGGTATCTTCTAAACGCTCCATAGGTGACTCTGATATAAACCCTTGGTTAAAAATCACTACTTTGTATATTTTATCCAACTAAATTTCCTGCATCTTAGCCCAGTAGCTACTTAACAATCAACTACTTCCACTGAGACTCAACAGACAGAATGATCCCTCAAATCTGAAATTCATCATTTTTAAGAATGAGAATGAAAAGTAAATTATTTAAATTACAGAAATAAGTTATCTTGGTCTAAATTTACTTTTAAGTCTTTGTTCTTCAGTTTTGATTGCTTTTCAACTAGATGATAAAATGCAACAAAAACCCACACAAAGTTCTCTCTAGTTTTTTCACGTTACAGTTTATTGTATAACCATGAGTGTCTCTCTCCAGAAGCACATTTTGCATAGGCTATAGAATATGCTATGAGTTGGAATTGACTTTAATGGAATGCATGTATTTTACATCAATCATCACTAAACTCCAAACAATTTTCCCTTACCCCTGGCTATTTGAAAGGAGCTGCAGTGGTGAAGTGGTTAAGGCTGCTAACCAAAAGGTCAGCGGTTCAAACCCACCAACTACTCCATGGAAGAAAAAAGAGGCATTCTGTTTCCGTAAAGACTGACAGCCCTGGGAATGCAATGGGGATCGTGATGAGTTGGAATCCACACGATTGCAGTGAGTTTGATTTGGTGCTATACGGAGGATAACATACATAGTTTCCACATTCCCTTAGTAAAATTGAAAATGACCACAGTGAAATCTGTACCCAGTAA